GTTAGTGAGGAAACTGAAAGGCAAAAACGAATAGGTCACACCTACAAACCCAGAGTCACAATTGCGAGTGTCACACAGCAGGATGATGTGAATGAGCAATATGCTCCCCCGAGTCATGCAGAAGTTAAAGCCAATCGTGATGCCATTCATGAGCTTTCTGCACAAGTATCTGCGTTGACCAAGAACCTAGAGAAAGTTGTCATGTTCATGGGCCCTGGTGATCAACAGCAAACAAAAATAGTCGCAGCAAGTGCCCAACAACCAGTTAAATCAGAAGTGAAGGGTAAATGCAAAGAGTGTATATCCCAAAATGTTGAAGTGTGTACTCACTGTTTCGTGTGTGGTCAAGCAGGGCACCGAGGTGTGGGCTGTCTCATGAAAAGTCGAGCGTTAAAAGAGAGGAGGTCACTGGGCAGGGACCACCAGTGACCACAGAAGATCTTGTGTCCCAAACTATTCACCGTGCTCCCAGAGGTGAGGGATCTGTAACCCAAAACACATCCAGTTCCCCGTTTGAGCTTGTGAGTGTGGATTACTTACATCTTGAGCCAAGCAAGGGTGGTTGTGAGTATATTATTCTGCTGGTAGACCACTTCACCCGCTTCGCACAGGCATATCCAACGAAAAACAAGTCCGGTAAGACCGCCGCCGAAAAGATCTTCCAGGACTTCATTCCTCGGTTTGGGTATCCTGAAAAACTCCACCACGACCAGGGCAGAGAGTTTGAGAACCATCTGTTTCAGAGGTTACAACAGCTGTCAGGAATAGCCCACTCAAGAACCACACCATATCACCCTCAGTGTAACCCTGTGGAGAGGTTAAATCGGACAATTCTGCAAATGCTCAGGACTCTAGAGGAGGAAAAAAAAAGGAATGGAAAGACTACTTGCCTTACATCATGCATGCTTATAATTGCACCAGGCATGAAGCAACCAGCTACTCTCCGTTTGGCAGGGTAGTAAAGCTGTGGCTGACAGTGATGTTCCTTGGGTTGCCGCCTTAGAGCTCAACAGTCCAAAGGAAGGGGTCATATGCACCAAGGGCAGTATCTCCCCAGTCACCCCCGAAAACATCAAAGCTGCACAACGAGATGATACAGCAATAGGTGAGATAATCAAGTTAAAAGAACAGAGCTGGACACCAAATGAAAAAGACAAAAGTAAGATGAGAAAAGAAACGAGGAGACTTCTCTTTGAATGGACCAAATTGGAGCTAGAGGATGGGGTTTTGTACAGGAAAACAGGACATAACAAGCAATTAGTTCTCCCTCCGCAGTTCAAAACAACAGTACTTAAAAAGTTGCACAATGAAATGGGGCATGTAGGAGTCGAAAAAGTGCTTCATCTTGCTCGTGAACGCTTCTATTGGCCCTCAATGAGGAAGGAGATTGAGGAGTATGTAACAACCAAGTGTGCCTGCATAAAACAAAAGCATCCACATGTCCATCAACGAGCACCCATGGGTTCTATCACATCCAGTTCCCCGTTTGAGCTTGTGAGTGTGGATTACTTACATCTTGAGCCAAGCAAGGGTGGTTGTGAGTATATTCTTCTGCTGGTAGACCACTTCACCCGCTTCGCACAGGCATATCCAATGAAAAACAAGTCCAGTAAGACCGCCTTCTTCCAGGCACCTTTCTTCTTTTTTGGTTCGAGATCTTCCAGGACTTCATTCCTCGGTTTGGGTATCCTGAAAAACTCCACCACGACCAGGGCAGAGAGTTTGAGAACCATCTGTTTCAGAGGTTACAACAGCTGTCAGGAATAGCCCACTCAAGAACCACACCATATCACCCTCAGTGTAACCCTGTGGAGAGGTTAAATCGGACAATTCTGCAAATGCTCAGGACTCTAGAGGAGGAAAAAAAGAAGGAATGGAAAGACTACTTGCCTCACATCGTGCATGCTTATAATTGCACCAGGCATGAAGCAACCGGCTACTCTCCATTCTTCCTCTTGTACGGCAGATCACCCCGATTGCCTGTCGACTTGCTGTTCAACCTGGAAAACAAGACAGAGAGTTCAAATCAACAAGCTTTTGCACAAAAATGGGAAGACAGAATGAGGCAAGCGTATCAGATCGCGAAAGAGAACAGCCAAAAGTCTTCAGCAAAGGGCAAGAAATACTATGACCGAGCAGTAAGAGGTGCCATTCTTCAACCAGGAGACCGGGTGTTGGTCAGAAACCTTTCGGAAAGAGGTGGCCCGGGAAAGTTACGTGCATACTGGGAAAAGGATGTACACCGGGTCGTAGAGCGCATCGGTGATGGCCCAGTGTACAAGATACAACCCGAGACAGGTTCCAAGACTCTTCGTGTGCTTCACCGCAACCTCCTGCTTGCTGTCAATGACTTACCTTGGGAAGATCCTATAGCTGATGCTAAGGAGACAAGAAAAGGAAAACACAGAAAACAAGTGAGAAGTCAGCTGGAGAATGAGTCAGATTCAGATTCCTCAGATGAGGAGGAACATATTTACCGGTATGACCTTCGTACGAACATACCTTGCTACAAATTTGTGACAGTTCCACAAACAGAGAGTGAACCTGAAACTCAGACAACTCAAAACCATTCTTACCTCCGTCAAACGGCAATGGAATTCTATCCTGACGAAAGAGGTGTTTCCACAGGGAACCGGGTTCAAGAGTTGAAACAAATCTTTGAGTCTCCATGTGTTCCTGGTCCAAGTCCAAGGTCTGTGATGCCAGATAAAAAAATGTTAATGTTGTGAATTCATTGAAAGGAAAGAAAATAGTCAGAATCAATTAAATATTGCCGAAGACTGCAGCCAGTACTCCTCTGTCTTACAGCGTTTCTTTTCATTATATTACAGTGCTGGCCAGAGTTGTACATCTAACTTACCCACTCAGGCGTCCCAGACTTGAGGCGGGTAACACAGACTATCAAACAAGAGAGCAGCAGACGGCATGCCGACACTGGCGCCATCTTGATCTTCAAACTTAATACCAGGCTTTTATCCTGGAGTTTTTTTCATGCATTTTATTATTGTCTGATAGTATCTTAATTGTTGGTGATTTTTATATTCATATCTGCTGTCGTAGCAAACCTTCGTTCTAAAAGAAGGTTTTATATTTAATGGACTAATTTTATTCAGCATGTCTCAGATGTTGATATGATGCCTGATCGCATCTGTTATTTTTAACATAAATGTGCCTAATGAGGAGTCAGCCCTCTTATGTTTGCTCTCATTCAATTACTCATCCAACATCTCAGGCTTTTGGTTCATATATCACTGTTGGTTTTGTTAAAAAGGCCAAGGAGTGTCAATGGCCATAAATATTGATGTGATTCGCACCTTAGAGGCAAACACAGTCCCCTAATGAACCCATCAGTGTGGAATGTGACTGTGAGGCAGGTAAGAAAGAACGTGAAGAGATTAAGAGAATTTTTTTTTTTGTGATTGTTTGTATTTTATTTACAATGCAATATAATCAGAATTTTGTAACACTCCACGTAGTATGCCGTGGAGGCCACACAAATAAAAAAGGGAATCAACCATTCGGAGTAAGAATAGCAAATCAAAAAAACAAGACAAACACCCAAAGATACATAGTATACATTTCAATCACCAAAATGTATTATACAAGTTGTCAGTCATAGAGAAACCATAGAGCAAGCTGAGTAGCGGAAAAAAATTATTGTCTCTGAGTCCGAAACAGCATATATAAAGTGATTTGAATCAGTCTCACCAGGACAGAATGAAAGTTCGCGAGCAGATTCTTGAGTGCATGCTGTAACTGTTAAAGTCCTCACAGTTAAGTAATCCAATCTCCAAACTCCAAACGTGATACTCCATATGCGAGGTGGCAGAATGTCCCAACAACAGTTCAGTCCGTAATCCACACAATAAACAAAACCCGGGTCCAAGATGAACAAACAAGCTAGAACGCTCTCGAACACCGGTAAGTCGGCTACCTATATAGTAAAATAACTTCCTTGTTATGATCACGTGGTACGCGACGCAAGGTACACATCAAATATCGCGAGACTGACCTCATCTGGGGCAAATACACACACACATATAGAGGCAACAATACAGAAAACTGGGTGATAATTAGATTAAACGATCAACAATACATGAGTTTTAATCAACGACAGTATAAATAAATCCCCTTTTATATGGCATTGCTACAACAGTGTAATGCACGGATCAAATATAATGTTATACATCGGATGTTTTTCCCCAACAATTGCCAAAACTTTAACTTAAGATATAGCAGATTATGATTGCATGAATACTTAAATACATTTAGCCTACTGTAAATCTGGGTATGTGTATCAGGATAGAATGCCGTGGGTGTCGTCTTTATGCGGTCACTTCGGATGAGAGTCAGCATGAGAAGCAAAGGGAGAAAAGGTACTCCTCTCAGAAAATCATTTTAAATGCTTAATTACTGTTTGGAGCATTGGGATCGCTAGATGAGGGCTTAATGAAATTATATTTTGTGAAAACCTCAAATTTTTCACTTTTTTTGCCTGTAGCTCAAAATTAGCCTGTGTACATTCCGACTCATTTTGCCATCACTTACTCAACAGAATGATATCCTCCACTGGCTCAAGCCCCACGTTGAATCCTATTCTTCTTCTGAGATAAATACAAGGCTTATTCCTCACAATGCATTTTCTAATGAATCATGCTGCTTAGTTTATCGAGATGAAGGTTTACAGGTTTGATGATCACCATATTAACAGCTTGCGTGAAGGTGTGACCGCATTACAGATAATAAGCTCAGACGTGAAACACTGTACCTGGCATTGGTTTCATATGGATTATGGGAAATGGGGGATAGGACAGAGACTCAAACCAGGATGTCTATGAGCAAAAAGATTGTATATGTCCTGCCCATTTGCACAGTCCACTGTGTTACAGCTCTGACAGAAATTTCAAACACAAACCCAAATGTTTGAATTACATTCTATTTTCCCTCAGTTTGCCAAATATTGGGAATTGATTATTAATTTAAAAAGTAAGGTAACCAACCTCTGGAAGTCAAAGTCAATGGTGGAATGTTTTGCCTGCAGGAGAGCCCATAGACACCAGAAAAGATGAGCCACCTAGGGAAAAAAAATTAAATAGTCTTAAATTGAAAATTTTACAAACATGGCTTATTATCTAGCCCATTAACATTTACCTCACCCAGCATTACAATAGTTTATAAAGCACACTAATAAAGCTTGCAAGCATTCATTCTTTGTCTCTTCTGCTTATCTGGGATCAAGTCCTGGTAGTAACTAATTAAGTAAGACCTCCCATACGTTCTTTCACCATCTTTTTCCTCCAGCTCTTCGAGGGAGATGCCAAGGGTTTCCCAGGCTAACCAAGAGATATAATCCCTGCAACACATCCTGGGTCTTCCTAATAGGACATAGAACACCTGCATGCAGGAAGCATCCTGACCAAATGCCTGATCCACCTCAATCTCTTTTCACCATGGTGAAACAGTGGCTCTACTCTGAGTCCCTCTCAGATTTTCCCTCCCTTCCCAGTTTCACACTCTGCCTCTCAGGGTCTACCCAGACACCTTGCAGAGAAAACTCATTTTGGCTGCTTGAATCCACAATCTTGTTCTTTCTGCCACTACTGTCCAGACCATAAACCTATTTATGGAACATAAACTGGTAATTTGAGAGCTTTGCCCTCAGGCTCAACTCTTTCTTCACCATGACAGTACATCAGTACAAAGACTGTATTAGTGCTGCCACTGCACAGATGCACCTATCTCATGCTCCAACCTACCCCCATTTGTGAACAAAACCCCAACATACTTGAACTCCTCCACCCTGGGAAGCAAATTACTCACTACCCAAAGGGGGCAATACACTGTTTTCTGGCACATTCTCACCGCTTCACACCCGGCCACAAACTACCTAAGAACGCTCTGAAGATCACAGCCTGATTGGGACATTAGGACATTAGGACAACCTCATGCACAAGAAGGAACACACTGTCTCATCCTCTTTAAAAAAAAAAAAAAAAAAAACTCACACACACCCATTTACCAATCACCAAGCGCTTTCCCAGAATCCCATGTCATGTGGAACAGGCTTGTCAGCCAAGGCAGCCTGATTTCCCTCCAGGGTCTTCATTATCTCTAGGTGAATCTTATCCACCCCTGGAGCCTTGCCATTTCAGAGCTTTTAACTGCATCAGTGACTTTTGCCAGGGAAATGGTCCATGATTCCTCCAAATCCTCTGTGAAATGACCCTCATGATGTGTTTGGGTTTTCTGGGTCCGTCCGGCAGTCTCCCCTGTCATTTGACAGCTCTGCTCGTCTGTTTACACAAGTGTCCAGAACACATTCAATGATATGATTCCAAAATCAACCAGCGAGCTTTGGCCTAAGGTTTTCTGGTACTAATATAATTATGAACCACCTTATGTTCAAACATGGTGTTTGTTATAAAAACCATGCGTAAACAAACCATTTCATCAAGGCACATGGGCCCCCTCAGCATACAAGAGCAAAAGAGTATAGGGTTTTGGTTACACTTTATTTTAAGGACAAATTCTCTCTATTAACTAGATGCTTATTAGCATGCATATTACTAGCATATTAGCTGTTTATTAATACTTATAAAGCACATATTGATGCCTAATTCTGCATGGCCATATTCTAGATCCCTTAATCCTACCCCATACCTAAACTTAACAACTACCTTACTAACTATAAATAAGCAACAAATGAGGAGTTTGTTCAGGGAAAACCCTTTGTTAATAGTGAATATGTGTTCCCTATTCTAAAGTGTTACCTTTATTACCGTATTGACTTTTACCAGTTTTTACCATACTTTCAAAACAAAAATTAAAATAGGAAAAATATGCAATATGAAAATAATTGAAGACAAAATGTGTTTTACTGAGAAAAAACAAGATTTGGTTTTTAAAAAGCCTTTTTTTCCAAAAGGTACATCTGGAAAAAGGGGGTCGTCTTATATTCGGGCCAATACGGTAATACACTTAGGACAGAATTAACTATAATAGGGCTCAAAACAGGGCACAAATAATGAAGTTGTTCTTTTTACAATGATGAAAATGTTTAGTTGCTCAGCTTAGACAGAAATACAATATTAGTTTCCCTTCAAGGGAACTGGCTCTGCGTCAGAATGCTTTGGGAACACGTCTGCATGACCGCATCCTGAAGCACATATGAAATCAGTCCAATAGAGTGGCGAGACGGCACAGGTGGGGTGGCTTAGAGACCAGGGCCCGTATTCTTAAAGATTCTAAGAGAGCTCCTAATTTATTTTAACAATTTCTAACTAGTCTTAGGTTAAAAGTGATTCAGGACCAATCTGAGAGCAACTCTGAGCGAGGAAAAGACAAAAACTTTTATCTTAGTGAGGAGGCAGGGCTGACTCCATTGCTAGCTATGACACAGTCTTTTGACGACTGGGATTGGTTGGTTGTCAAAGAAGGAAATATAAGAACGCTTTTAAGAGTACATTGTAAAATCTAGTTGGGCTTACTTAAAAAAAGCATGCAAACCGATTGCCTTGAAAAACACTAAAGTGAAATAGGAATAGTATGTTGTACTGACAAATGCTTAGTTAGTATAGTTTACTTACACGAGAGTTCTAGTAACTAAAAAATAACTGTAGGGGGTACTTGATCCTTTCATTTATGTTTACTCATGACTTAGTATAGCTACTCACTGACTCCCAGAGAGCATTGCGGCATGAATAAATTATACAGTTGCTTTGTTTTATAGTTGTTTTTATTTGCCAATTGTATTTGCTGTCTTGTGTCAGTAGTAGCACAACAAAAAGAGCAAATAAAATGGTTATTGTTACAACTAATGAAAATAAACGAAATTTAATTCTTAACATTGTTGTGATTCACGTGCTGAATGTTTAAGTCTGTGTGTGACTTCAGCGTATTACCACACATTATTTATGGATTATTTAAACCCAATTAAAGCCATCTAAGATCATTAATAAACACACACAAAAAATTCAATAGCGCTTAAATTAAAGTCACTTTCTAAAAGTAATCTATATATTACTTGTTTTCCTTTGAAATCAGATAACTCTGACTTCATGATGCATTGCTGCATTAACAGGAAGAAATTGTTTTGTTGCACATTAGCAACATATTAGTGCACTGCGTCCTCTCACTGGTTTATTAACGTCATTGGTTCCTTTGTGGCTACTTGAATATTTTAAGTAAGTGTCACTCAAAGCAGTAAGTAAATTGTTTTATTTGCTTTGAAAGTAGCTGCAACTTAATAAAACCTAGTAAGTATAACAACTAAGTAAAGATAACTAATTAAATCTAAGTAAGGTAAACTATTGGATTTTACAGTGTAGGGTTTATTATAAGCCTTCACTTTGAAATTACAGGCGTTATTTTTCATGTTTTACCATACTCTCCAATGTTTTTCATGTTTTACCAAACCTGCTCCTGCCCAAACTAACTCAGCTCTCCGTGCCCACCTCCATCTGCCAATGGATCAACAGCTTCCTGACAGACAGACAGACAGTAGTGAGGCTTGGAAAATACACATCCAGCACCCGTATAATCAGCACTGGAGCTTCTCAGGGCTGCGTCCTCTCCCCACTGCTCTTCTCCCTGTACACCAACGACTGCACCTCTAAAGACCCCTCTGTCAAGCTCCTGAAGTTTGCAGACGA